GGATGGTCTGGTACAAAGAAAGCATGACAAGAAGACCACTAAAAGTCTTAAGAAACGCAAATGTTTACTAATGTTAGTGACAAATTAATGGTATTCACTGTGTCTGAAAATATCTTTATAGGAGCATCACATTTACTTAGATCCAACTCTGACTCTGAAACCTTGATTAATTCCCTCCACAGACAACCTCCCAGTAAGCTGATATCAGATTGTTAACTTTTATGCTAGCTACAAAACAAAAAAAGAAAGTCATGTTACAAGAAACAATCAAGTTTCACAGGTGTATTTCTTTGTAGGTCAGAATGCAATTTCCCAGAGGTGAACTTTCTCTTCTCCAAGAGGATGGAAAGAGAGGTGACTGTCCTCCTGTTGCTTTCATGAGGCATAGAGCACAAGGTCTTCCACTGAAAGCTCCGTGTGCTAATTCCTATTCCAACTGGATCTGTGTTAAGTCTCTGGAAGAAGTCTTCATGTTTGCTTAGTAAACCTACAGAATGATGGACCAGACTTTTTGTCTTTTGGCCATGCACCATTGTGTTACCAGCTTTCTGCCATTGTGACAAGATAACTGAGACAATAAACTTGTAAGAAAGAAAGGTTTATTTTGGCTTATTGTTTCAGAGGTTTCAGTTGATGGTTTATTGGTCCCTTGCTTTGTGCCTTCAGTGAAGCAGTACACCATGGAGGAAACATGTGGCAGAGGAGTCCTGTTCCTCACAGTGGCCAGGAAGCAGAGAGGGAGACAAGAAGGAGTCAAGATCCCAATATCTCTGTCAGTGACATACCCCCACTAACCACACTGCCTTCTACTAGACCCCACCTCCTAAAGGTTCCTCCCAATAGTGCCACTGGCTAGAACCAAGCTTTAAACATATGGGCCTTTGGGCGATATTTCCGGTCCAAACTATGGCAACCCTCCACTGCCATGGTATCGGGACCTCTCTTATTTACTTTGTTCCCCCACCCTCCTCCACTCTCCTACCATGGAACTCTGGAGTAGTCAGATACCACCTCCAGCTCCAGAAATGAGTATATGACTCAGAGTTACATAAGAAGAAAATTTCATCCTTCTGGCCACAGTGATTCATTCACTATCACGTGACAATTAATCCCCCAAACCATGCCTTAACAATTTAGGAGTGGTGTTCTATTTCCCTATAAGACATGAGCCTTAGAGAATGTGGGACTATGGCTACAAGCTCCCTACTTGCCTCCAAAAAGAGCAGTGAATGAAACCAGTGAAGGTGGCAGAGTGAAGAGATGAAGACAGAACTGGTCCTGGTTGCATCATTTTAACTTCTAGAACAAGACCCAGTGAAAAGTAGTTCTAGCTTGACATTTTGCAATTTCCCAAATTCATGAACTATTTTTTTTTAATGCCAAAGCAATTAGAGTTGTGTTTCTGTCATTTGCCAAAGAGCCTAACTAATACAGAGAAGACTGTCTGAGTTGAGATAGTCTTAAGAAGAACATTCCAGAACACAAATGCCAATGAATTGTGGGAAGACAAAAACCCCTGCAACCTGTCCTCAGCTCCCTGTGTGTCGTGGCTACCCAGGAACTCTGAATCTGGTTCTGTTTCTTTGGAGAAAGTTGGTAGACAAAGTTCATTTTATTTGTTTTCAAGGGAAATTGGTACTTTTAAATCTTTTCCCATCTAGTAAAGGTAATATTTGTCTAGGTCTCACAATCCCAGGGTGTACATAATCAGGGTTTCCCTGGAGATTGCTAGACTCTTTGAATCAGTTTGTCCAGTTCAGTCCTGCTCCTTAGAATAAGTTTTAGCTACAAGTAATGCCACTGCCATTCCAAGTCCTATGTTTATTTAAGTAAACCTAATAAACTTGTCCCCAAGGTTTCTGTTCTTCAGCTTGGGGGTCTGACTAGTGTCATAAACCAATTTTGTCAATGATCTGGGGCTAAAGTACTCTAATCTCAATATTTTCCTCCTTCAGCCTCTTCCCATTTCAGCAGAATCTTAATGAAATACGTTAATCAAATAAGCCTTTAAAATAATTCTTTTTACGTGGGTTAGTGAATAGCCAGGTCAGCTGAAATTGTACACAGCAAACTACTATAAGAGGTAACATTTTTTGTTGATTATTTGTTTGGGTTGTTTTTTTGTTTTTGTTTTCATTTTTTTTTTTTTTGAAGGAAGTAGGAGCTGGCACTGCCTACATAAACCTTGTTCTTTTCATCCTCTGACAAGGATTCCCAAAGGAAGATCCTGTGGGACACTATCTGTCCCAGCAGGAATATAAACAAAAGCCCATTCTGCTTTTGAAGTTTATCACTTTTAAAATATTGCTATTATGATGATAAGCCCTTTTGAGATTGGCCTTTTTTTTTAAGGATATTCTGATAGCGTTCAAATGGGAAACAAAACAAAGTCACCTTTGAATTTCTTTTTTTGTGAAGTGTACTTCACTGAAAACTGAACATCTCATTACCATGGAGAGAAGAGACCAACCTGGTGGGCTGGCACTTAGCTCCAAAGTCTGGTATGTCTGGGCCGACTCCCATGAGCTTCCTGAAGCCACCTTCCACACTTCAGCATGAGGTGAGCCACAGTCCTGGGATACTTCCTCTGCTTCCTCATCCACTTCTTCTGTCTAGAAAAAAAATAGATATTATAGCTCAGCCTGCAGAGAAAAAAATGTTCATTTTATCTCTTAACCTGTGTGGCCAGTTTGGAGCTAAGAGATAACACTGCTGGAGTGTGATGGTCCATTTTAAGTGTGAATTTGACTGGATCAAGGAATACCTAGAGAACTGGTAAAGCCCTTTCTTATAGGTGTGTCTATGGGCATGCTTACAGAGAAGATTGGCAAGTGAGTTGGAGACTGAGTGGGGAAGATCTGCTCTCACCGTGGGTGGGCACCATCCAATCGGGTATGGGCCAGAAAGAATTTTAAAAAAAGGAAAAAAAAATTATCTCACTCTTTCTCTCCCTCTCCCCTACCCCACCCATCTCTCTTGGAGCTAGGACATTACTGTCCTCCTGATCTGGACATCAGAACCCCAGGTTCTCCGACCTTGGCATTTCAGGACCCCCAGCAGCCCCTTGGCTTCTCAGGTGTTTGGCCTTGTACTGAGAATTACCCCCATCAGTTTCCCTAGTTCTGAGACTTTGGGAATGGGACTAAGCCACATCCCAGAGTGTCCAGCTTTCAGATGGACTATGGTGAGACTTTCCAGCCTCCATAACCACATGAGTCAATTACCCTGATTAATTCCCTCCCATCTATCCATCTCTCTATCTATTTATCTGCCCATCTAGCTCTTGACATTTACTATTGGTTTGCTCTCTGGAGAATCCTAAAACATACAGTTGGTAGAGAAGGAATTTCATGTTGCTCTTGAAATATAAGTGAAATGATCCTAGATTTTTCCTAAAAAGAGAAATTCAGCAGAAACAAATAGTCTTTTTACTCAAGAAATAGTGTTGGAGACTTTCAGTGACAGAGGTATTCTTAAGCTCTTGTCCTCAAGGAAGACCATCTAGAATTTCATTATTAACTGAATATTATTTGCCATTATAAAGGCTATTTGGGTCTTGATGTAAAAGAAATTGTTTTGTCCCATTCTGTATAGCTCAGATACATCTTTTCATGTAAGTTATGAATGCCAGTAGCAAAAGATCTGAATAGTCAATTCACAGAAGAAAAATTGAACAAGCAAAAAAAATTTAAAACCATATGAGAAAGATGTTCATCCTCATAACTAATTTAAAAATCCAACTTTAAATATCCGTGAAATATAACCTGATTTTGTCTTCACAGTGGAAAGTCTAAATCCTTCCTAATGCCCTTGGAGTTCTTCAGCATCACTTACAATTCTTTCTAAACCTTACTTCACTTTGGGTCCATGAGTTCAGCACATGGATGGAGCATCTCACCATTTCTTTTCACAAGCCATATGCCACAATGTAGAATACATCCTTTTCTTAGTATTCATAGATAAAACAGACTTACTCGAGGCTGAAGGTAACAAGAAGGTTTTGAGCTACTATTTCCCCAAGTCCTATTTCCTTAGAGACTGGTCCTCCCTGTCATAATACCTCTCTCAGACATATCTTCACCACCACCATCTCCCCCACCCCAGTCTCCCACTTGTATCAAAACTCAACTCTGTCATTTGATGCTACAGTTTCTACCCCCTAAATGGCCAAAGGAATCCTGAGTCTCTGATATTTCCCCCTGAATAATACATTTCTATTCTGTGTTCCACCTCCAGAAAAACTGAACTGGCAGAAACTGAAATTTCCTGTTCTGTTGTTGTATCAACTCCAAAAGTCCCCAAAATAAAAATAGAATAGATATTTGTTTTCTCATTGTTTTAAATTATCCCACCTCCTTAAAAATCAAAGGCTGGTGCAATCATTTTTTGTGTGTGTGTGTTAAGTAACATTTCTTCTCCTTTATACTGTTAGCTAAGAGTTTCACAATAATAACAATAATAATAATAATAATAATACTTATTGCTAGTAAGGGTGTGAGACAGTCACATTCACACATTGCTACCAGGAGTGAAAACTGGTAAGAATCTGTTGGAAAGAAATATAAAAGTAGCATTAAAATCAAGATATTTTAAAGTACCTACACTTTGGGGCCTAGTAATTCCACTTTTACAAATTTTAAAGTAGGAATAACAAGTTATGAATGAAGTTTTTCATGTGAGGATGTTCCTGTTACAATAAAGAATTAAAAGACCAATGATAAGAGAAAAATAGAACAAATCGTGGTCTATTCACACAACTTGCAACCATTAGAAATTATAAAAAATAAATTGTAAGGCATGCAAAAAGGTGTTGCTTTAAGCTCTCTCAAGTCAAGATTAACTAATGATGAATTTATATCTGAATTTCCCAAAGTTGTAGCACAATGCCTGCCATGTAATAAATATACAGTAAATAGGTGTGGAATGATGAATGTATGAATGATCTAAGAAGTGAAATTTTGGCTTTGGAGAATGAGTTCCCTTCTTTTTCCTGTAATATTCCATGGTTCTATATGATCTCTTCTCTTTCAGAGTACACAATTTAGATGATAAGACAAGATAAGCATGTATAGATAGCCTCCGTGAACAAAACAAGGCACTTAATAATGAATCACAGAGTGATGTTCATTCTATGGGAAGAGGAGAAACCTTAAATGTTCTGGTAAGAACTCATATACCCATCTCCACTGCTTGTAGAAACAGACCCAAGGATTTTAGTTACTACAGGTCAGCAGTTATACAGTATAGTATTCATAATCAGAGGACAGCATGTCTTTCCAATATGCCAATAAACATCTTCCACCCACATTCTCAGTCTCTCCAATAGTTTGAGGTAACTAACAGGTGAGTAATCCATGAAGAATTAGGACTTACACCTGCAAGGCTACACTTGTTTTCTGTTTGTTTGGTTGGTTTTTGTTGTTCAGCTGTTCAACTTGAAATCAAGTTTCACAGAAAGCAAAATCTTTGTAAAAATTTCCTGGTTAAATATCTTCAAAATAACACATTCAGTGAAGAAAAAAATTTCAGTAGTGAAACCTGCCCATTACAAGGTGGAGATGAAGTAAAAGACAGATACTGTGTATCCATTTATGTATTATGGCCCATTGGAGGGTCATAAACCATAATGATATTTAACAATTTTGCACACACCCCCTAAGAACAAATTTTTGCTCCTTTGGTGGCAATATTGCCCCTATTGAGAATGAATGGTCTGCACTATTCTGCACAGGAGAGGAGACAATTTGAAGTAAAATGTTCTTAAAGTAGTGTTATCTTTGTACATACGATTCACAGCATATACAAAAGGCAGCACTGTGTTCTCTTAAGCATTTGATTCAAATTCTTCTGTAATTGTGCTTATTTCTTTGAATCTTTGGGGGTGGAGAGGAGAAATTAGAATAAAATGAAACAAAATTTTGGTAACAGAAAAACAACAAATGATTAAATTAGAGATGAAATTCAACATTCAGTCTAGTACTCCTGCCATTCCTTTGATAGATTGCTATTGGCAATTCTATACATAGTGGCTTGCATCTCTCTCTTGGCCCCCCCTCCCCACTCTCTCTCAATCATTCATTCTGCATATAACATATACAGCCACATATCTATATCACTGAGAAAGGATCAATCATTTTTTCCCTATGCTGCTGAGACATACAATATTTATCACAGGTTATAGAAAAGAAGAAAAGAAAATCTAAGCGTATTCCCTTCAGCTGTATTTCTGTTGTGGAACCAGGAGCATCCCCGTCCTCCTCGGTTCTGCCTGGGTTGTCAGCTCTGTCCTGCACAATTGGTGGAGCAACAAGGCTAATACAGTTAGGTACCCACTGGCCATTGTGAAGAAAAACAGACCTGGTTATTGGTGATCTTCCTCACTATATTAAACACAACTCCCATTAGGCAAACTCCCTTCCATTTCTTTAAACCTCTCCATACCTTGTAAATCAAATATTTATCAACTGAGAACCTCTTTCTAGCTGTCTGATGTTTCAGCTCTGACAAAGTTGGCCACTAGCCAGTGGTGAAGAAACCTGTGAAAGGAAATCAGCCACAAGAAAAAGAAAACTCTATTTCATTTTTATTTCACAGGAACAAACTGCCAACAAACCTTCTCCCTTTCCCACTCCCTCCTTTTTTTTTTTTTTTTTAACTTGCCCTTGTGAAAAGACTTGCATGGAATGAGCAGGCCTGGTCACTGGTTTAATCAACAAATATTTACTGGACAGTCATTGGTTGGGTCCATATGTCTGCAGGCCCTTGCCATCGATATTAAAAGTTGTTGAACTGCTTTTAAGAGCCATTGTGACTAATGTGCGCCTCAGAGTAGGATGTGCACAAAACACTGTGCTCTATAAAGGCGAACCGGGGAGTAGCTGGACAAGCCTGGAGCTCAAAAAGAGCACATGGGGCTGTTTATGGAAACCTTGCTGAAGGGGACAAGCCTTGAACCCTGACTTCAAGCATGAGAAGGAATCCATATGGTGAGTGGGTGGAGGGAGGTGACAAATCTACAGGAAGGCTCAGCTGGCATATTTCCAGCAACACTGATGACTCCAACAGAATTAAAAACTATGTACATAGACCACATTTAAAACAAGTTAGAACTATTTTCATAACTGTTCTGTAACCAAATATGCAGACAATAGCCTAAAGTAACACTAATGATTAGCTGTAAAATATCTTCAGTCAAGAAAATGAAGTATTACACATAATGTTGCAGCTTCTGTAGTAACTGGCTTATTGATTTCCATTAAAAAAAAAAACAGTCAACACATAACACAAATTTGGTTACCCTGGACCTACCTCCACTTTGTTCTAATCTCTGACAAACAACAGAACAACAAATGAGAATTTTGAAACATACACACACCCAGTTTTGGATTCAGTGGATCAGGTGGTAAATATAGGGCATCAGTGTTTTTCAAAAATGCTACAGGTGATCCTAACTTGCGCTACAGTTACAAACAGCACAGTGTCCTATTGCAGCCAAGTCCTCAAAATTACTGGCATCAGCTTATTACATAAGCGTGTCTACCTAGTGTTTAGAAAAATAGTTCTTTAGCTCACCATGCATTTTCCATTTTCAGAATCTATATTTCCATTGTGG